CGATTCTCCTGCCTCAGCCCCCTGTGTAGCTGGGATTACAGGTGTGAGCCACCAACATGGCTAATTTGGTATTTGTTTTAATAGAGATGGGATTTCACCACATTGGGCAGGCTGGTCTTGAACTCTTGACCCCAGGTGATCCATCCGCCTTGGCCTCACAAAGTGCTGGGATTACAGGCATGAGCCACCACGCCAGGACCGCAATTTTTAAAAGTTCACTGAAAGTAAGAATTCTTATGTGCAGAAGTAACTGCATTGGCAATTATTTAAAGATTTCAAATTATAAGTATCTTTTTAAAGACAATGGACAATGATTCTATTTAGTTATTTGCTGGAATGTATAAAATTCAGTTTTATAGATTTGAAGACTTAGACGATGTTTTAAAAGTTTCTGATTTAGAATAAGCCTCTGTAGTGCATATAGAAGTAACATTTTTTTTGGAAGTCATACAGTCAATCTTCACAGGCAGCTTAACCTCAGAGGTTTTCCCTGTACTCACAAAGTGATGAAAAAGCTTAATAATTGAAACTGTTTGGCCTTCTGAATCACTTTTTATAAATTCAGTAGTTGCCTGAGTGCAAATAGTTTTGATAATTGCCTCTATCCTCTATCTCCGTCCCCATCCAAAAAAACCCAAACTCACAAACACAAAAACCTAAAACAAAACATCATAATCTTGATGCAAGACTGAAATGTTAAACATCTTGAGTTGTATCTCCTAAGTCATGAACTACTAGTCAATGCTGTCTTCTAGGAATGGAACCTCACAAAATATATTCTGTACAGAATTGAAAGAAGAATATTTTTCCTAAGATACTTAAAAAATATGGTTAACTTTTTCATTTATTAAAAAGATATATAACAATGTATTATGCCAATATTTTTAAAAATTACAATGTAATTTTTGTCTGTGCTGAAACCTTAAAAATAATGGTTTATTTTCAATACAATTTCAGCCTAAATTGGTCTCACTATAGGTCTATAGGCTTCCTTTATCAGAGCCTCTTTCAACATTTATCTCCTAAAATAGACAACGTAAAATATGGAAATACTATAAAATCATCAAATCTATCCAATATTATTATTTAGTACACTGAAATATTTTATACAGTACATTTATCTACTAAAGACTTGATCTATATTAATATTCACAGAAAAAGATATAACAAGTGTAGATATTTTGATGTCATTATTTTGAAATTTAAATTATAGAAATTCTGTTAAAAAAATGTGATAAATTACCCATTATCTAAAATACTGACAAGAAACAGTATTGTTTTATTGATCAAATGCTATACAATTGGATAAGCCAATGAACTACACTCTTGGAAATGCTTAAAATTTTCATAAGCCAGATCCTCTGAAATATTTTACTAACTTAACAAAATGGCAAATACAAATACTTCATTAAAATTTGAATGCTCTTTATAGTTAGATAGGATCGGAATACTCAGTTGAATCCTTAACTAAAAGGTAAACATCTCTGCTCTAGCAGAATGAAAACTTAAAAAAAAATACACACATTAGTATTTATTTTAGTACATCTATTGATCTATTGTCTACAAAGCATTTTTTAAAAAATGGAGAGTCCACATTAACAACAGAAATAGATGACTATATGTTATCCTAAAGCAGTTTCAAATGCATGTGCCTAAAGTCACAATTTAAGAAAAATATATGTATTTTCAGATACCAACTTTAATCATAATGCATAAATGACATTAGAGAAGACTGAGGAAGCACTGTGGTTCAGAAAAGTCTATATTCCTTCATTGATACATGCAAAGAAACTGATTATCTGCATCAAATAATCTTTTGATCATCAACCATCTGAACACGATTTCACTTAATTTGCTCTTTCATTTGATACTGAGTTAAAGCGAATCCTCCAAACTGATCCTTTGTTTTGGTCCTTTGCTTTGTACTGAGTTAAAGCAAATGCAAACTGGTCCTTTGAGTATAGCAGTGGCTAAATTCATGAAATTTGGGTGGGGGAACAAGTGTTGTTTTTCATACATATTCTTTAATCATTCCATAGAGGTAAACATACTTATATGCTAAATACCTGACCTTTTTGAATAAATGCAGACCTACCTTGACTTCCACAAGCCTCTATTCATTTCAATGAGACAATGTTTTCACAAAATGTAAGGCAAAACAGGTGTTAAATTACTTAAGAGAACTCATAATTTAAATAATTAAAACTAATTTGTGTTTAAAGCTATTTGCAGATTTATTAGAGAAACAAATACAAATATGCATTTCTACAGAACTGTTTTTTTTTTCCAAAATGAGCTTAAAACGTGTTCCACAGTTTTTACTTGTTTATATATCTATGGTAACCCAAGTATTGGCTTCTGTACCACTTTGTAATGAGACAATTGCCTTTCCATTGCAATTATAAAAAACTATTTAAAAAAAATTCGGCACATACACGTTAAATATTTTTCTTTAAAAAAATAATCTAATCAAAATATTGAATACTTTAGATTTGAACAA